TCAGCCGAGCTCGGAGCAACAACTCCCGTTTTCACCGATACCCGATCTTGTGTGAGAAACAGCAGAGCTGCGGGTTGGGGAAGGGGGAACCGTCCCGCAGAGGTGAATAGCAGGGCTCTCACAGGACCCGCTCCCACTGGGTTCTGTTACCTGCTCAAAAAATCCAGGGAACTAAAAAAACAAAGGGGGTTTGTTAGCAATTCACAGGGAAGAGAGTTGGAGTAAATCATGTATACGGACCCTCTGAACAAAATGGTAATGGGGGCATGGGAGAAGGACAGATTCTGTTTCAAGCAGACAGAAAGACCCTTTTTTTTGCACCCCTGGCCCATGCTTTCCATTTCCTCGGGGGCTCCTTGTCCCTCGTCTGCTGCTCGCTCCCAGCCGGGAAGCGATGGGCAGGGTTTAACCCAGAGGAATTAACAGGGACGTTTCTTTCAGGCTGATCAGCTGCTACGTCAGAACAACCAGACCAAGTACTACCGGGAGTTCCTGGGCATTCTGACGGGAGAGCAGGTGGACCCCGAAAGCCTGGGGGAAGCTGTCCAGACCCTGTGTGAGCAGAGAGCCATCTTCTGGGTCAGGAGAAGGGACGGTAAGCTGTACGTGGCCCTTCGCAGAGCAGGGAAGCGCGATTGTTTCTGGTACCTCTGAGAGGAGCAGGCTCTGCTGCACAAAAGCTGATGGACGGGCTGCCAAGGCCCAGGACAGGGACAGGTCCCTCTAGCTCAGTCTCAAACCTTTGCTGAGCGATCACCAAGTGCTGGCTCGTACCCACAACCTGCAGCGCCCCACGGTGCTGGCTGGGAACAGCCCCGAGCAGCACAGCCAGCTTGCACAGCACGAGAGCAGTCCCCTGCGACGCTGTCAGCTTAACGCTCGTCACCTTCAGCTTCACCCAAAGCAGCCTGCCGAGCTCTCGTTCTGCTCTTACTCCAGATTTAATGAGAAAGGTCATTCCCTGAGGGTTTCCACTTGTCTGGCTCCCCAGGGAGCTGCAGGACTGCAGAAGCCTTCCTCTCACCTCGCTCGTGTCCTTGTTCATTTGGCAGGTCCAGGGAAGCAGCGACTGATCTACCTTTGCATCGACATCTGTTTTCCAAGCAACGTTTGCGTGTCTATCTGCTTCTATTACCTCCCCGAGTAACTCCTGCAGCTGCAGCTGCCCTCTCGCTGCCCTACATACTTGAACTGGATTCCTGAAAAGCCTCTGATTTCAGCAAGGAAGGTAACATATCCCCCCCCTCATGCCCTCACCCAAATCTTCCGCTGATTTCACGCTGCAGTTCAGGAGAGTTTAGAAGAACGAACAGGACTCTGCTCAGCACTGTCAGTACAGACACTTTATTTGCAGTCAGGCCCCAGGGCTGCACCTTGCCCGTAGGTGTTAGGAGATCCAGGCCTAGAGGAATCGCATGCAGCAGCTCGTGTTTCATGGCTACGCGCCCCGTTCAGCACAACGTCACTCAGTTTGCTGGGGCGGTTGGCTTTAAAAGAGCAGAGCTCTCCACGTCGGTCTGTGAAATACACTTTGAATAAAGGAATGCAAACCAAGAAAACAGCTGCCTCTCCTCTCTTTGCTCAGCCTCTTCCATCGTTCAGAAAGGCTGATTTTTGTACTCTCTTTTCCCCACTTCGGGTTACAAGAACATCACAAAGCTGTCAGCAGCCGATGCCGCAGGGATTCCTCCAGCTGAACCATACCAGCTCCCCTCGGCGGGACTGTGGCCCCCCCTTCCCGTTCCCTTTTGTCCCGGTAGCCTCCCTCAGAGGCCTCACGTGTTTCCATAAGGGTCTGCTCAGAGCTGAAGCTGCAGGCAGGTGCAGCAGCTTCTGCCAGAGACCAAGCCCCCTCTGTCAGAGGAGGAGACGGTTACAAATGCACGTCTCAGGCCCCAGGGAGGATGCTCGCCGCTGCAGCACGAGGGAAAACAAGCAGAGGTCCTCTCCTTCCAAACGCGACCGTTAGCCCAACACGCTGTCGTTGAAAGCGAGGCAGACGACTGCTTTCTGGTGGCCGCTGTACTCCCTCTTGATCTCTCCTGTCTCCACACACCAAAGCCTGGCCAGGTTATCAGAGGAGGCTGGGACAGAAAGGGAAAAGAGCCATGGGATAGATGGCATTACCCTGTACACCTTGTTTTGTTTGGGGATTTTTATTACAAGAAAGACTTTTCTCTTGCTTCATTCAACACAGTTGTCAGGGCTGGCGATGCCCAGCGAGGGAGCTGTGCTGAGTAAGAAGCTCGGTGTGTTTCTGTGTTACCTGGGGTTTTAACTATCTTGGCGAGAAGTCACTGTGGAAATGACAACACGTATGTTTTGAAGCGACTATTGTCCTGCAAGTGACATTGAAATAAGCTGCACACACGAGGATCATCCCCCAGTTTTAGACAGACGCCCTGCTGCAGCGCAGGCAGAACACTTGAGGGAGTTAACAGAGCACACTGTGGGCATGAGGCTGGGTGCTCTCCTAACACACGCTGGTGCATGAGGGTTTGGCAACATCCCAGCTAGAGAAACTGAGAGTCATGTGCTCCTGCAGGGCCTCACAGAGGCCAAACCGAGCAGCAGCCCGAGGAGCAGCAGCGCCTCACCTGTGACGATGTACTGGGAGTCCCCAGAGAAGGCGCAGTCCCACATCCAGCCCCGAGACGTCTCCCCTGGGTTATTGCTTTTAATGCTCAGCTCTGTCATCAGAGAGAAGTTTGAAGTCCTCCAGATCTTACACGTCTGATCTGCAGAACAAGTAGCCAAGAGCCTGCAAGGAAGAGACACACGAGGGCAACCCGATCAGTCACGTTGCGTGCCTGAGCGCCTCTCGTTAACGTGGGCCTGGAACAGGATTGAACCTGAGACCTGCGCTGGCCGTACTCAGATTTCTTTACGCCTGTATCATCTTGCCTTACGAGATTCAAGCTGAACAGACTCCGAGTTCACCACTGCGCTCCCAGAGACCAGCCGTGAGAACAGCTCGTGGCTGCAAAGCTCGCCAAGATCACGGAGCGCAACCAGCAACCCAGCGCCAGCATGTCCCGGCTCCTCCACGGGGACCTGCAGGGCAGCGCGGGGCCAGCGGCGCCCAACATCTGGAGGCACAGCTGGCCTCTGCAGGCCCCGGAAGGACCGTCTGCTCCCATCACGGGTAGGCGAGGGGCCGGCACGCACTCACGTGGAGTCGGGGCTGAACTTGCACTGAAGGGCGTAGCGGTTGTGCGCCGGGATCTTAGTCTTGGGGATCAGCTGGGTCACCTCCTCGCCGATGCCGCCCGTCAGGTTCCACACGTAGCAGTTTCCCTGCGGTGAGACAAGGGGATCTGTGGCTGGGCCGGCAGTCGCCCCCCCAAAAGCAGCTCAGACTCTCCACGTCTGACCCCAGCACCGGAGGGCCGTCAATCCCACCCGAGGCCCTCGGCGCTCACCGAGCTGTTCACAGCCGCCATGTAACTGGCATCAGGGTCGATGTGAACCGAATTCACGGAGACTTCGGGCTCTGGAATCAGCTGCTCGTTGTGGTCGGTCTTCAGGTCCCAGATGTGAATGGCACCGCTTTGATCACCCACGATCAGCTCTGCCTGCGAGGGAAGAGCAGCCTCATCTCTCTGAGGAGAACCCCTCCAGCCGATGCCCGTGAATCACCCGTGGAGCCTTGCTCTGGTTTGAGGTACCAGGCTCCTGTTCTGCCTCATTACTGCCCAGCTGGGCTGTGCCAGAGCTCCCACCGCCGGCTCCTGTGCACTGAGAGCAAGCAGAGCACTCGTCTCACGTTACCCTCTGCATTTTTTACCTTCACAGAAGCGTTTGCTAATTTTATAAACCTCAGAGCAGACAGCGACTGCCTGGTTTCCAAAACTGAGCCACAGCCACAAACAACATCCTCAGCAGCCAAATGATTTTCGGCACGTCTGAGGAGCGGACATTAAGACGCGAGTTGGCCGGCGAACAACCGAAGCACTCAAGAGTGTACAGATATCTGGAAAACACAAGCTTAAATGGATTTCTCTCTCTCCCGCTCTCCAGGGAAGGACAAGAGCCAGCTGAAGGGCAGGAGTCCTGGCTCCAATCCCGTGCTCAGACCAGAAGACAATGCTGGCGGCTCTCCACTAAACCCAGGGCTTTTATCGACAGTCTTGCGCTGTCCATAATTTTAGCAGAATCCCTAGAGGAGATCAGGTCATCAGGCGCAGCTAATCCTGCAACCGTGAGCAGAGGCCTGTTTCTGACGAAGGCAACCGTCACTCGATAGATTTAGCACAGAAGCCTCTTCTGGACGCCTCAGCCCCCTCTCAGCAGGTGTAAGTGCCGCTGCAAAAGCCGCTGCGGCTTCACCCCGGCTGTGACAAATCTCTCTCGGATCACTGCATCGGCATCACTGCAGCAGGGAATTGCAACGCCGTGAAGCTCTCCGAACAAACGCCACCACCTCTGGGCTGCCCAACTGCGTTCTGCTCACTAAACAGTGCTCCTCCTGCAACTCAGCAGCATCTTGGTTAGTGATTATTTCACGTGTAAGAACTACGTACAACAATATTTGTTTTCACCTAATACGTTCTCACAGTGCCGACACTAAAGCAGCATCTGGGTAAAGTCTGGTCCTGACAACTGATCTCGAATGCGATCTGAAATTCCAGACTTGCAAAATTAAAACGCAAAGTAACGTTTCTATTACTCAGCTTTTTGAAAAAAAGGGCTTGCACCGCCACGTCTGCAAACAAACCCTGCAGCACTGGGAACACACAACGGACCAGACGGGTTACGGACGCCGCAGTGATCGCTATTGATTTCGCTGCCGTGCCCTCTAATGCACCGCGCTCCCTTTCACCCGCATTCCTCAATCCCCGGCCGTCCCTCTGATCATCAACAGCTTCTGAACCAACTGGTGAGCAAACCTGACTGAAGTCCTGAAGGTAAAGGGGCCCACGAGCCCCGAGATGTTTTTTCTTGGCAGGAGTGCCACCCTCAAGCTTCCCAGCCCACCCCGTGCCCACCAATCCCACTCCCATCACAGCCCTTTGGGTATGCTCTTGGCCCCAAAGGAACGTTCCCTCCTGTGGGATGCGAGGCCCAGCACAGCTGCTGCGCTGTCTCTTTGCAACAGCCACCAAGTAATCAGCACGAACAGAAATGAGCTTGGGGGACAAAACCCCCAGGGCCACAGCACGGCCGTCTGCCGCAGGCACGACATGAGCCCATGGTATCTGCTCACTCCCAGCAACACCACCACAAGTTCGCAGGTCTGGGCCACCAGGAAGGGCACCCTGCCCTGCCAGCCCGCAGATCTTTTGCTGCACCTGCCGGTATAACCCCCTCTGGTTTCCCCAGAGGAGCCACGGTGAGGCAGGACCTGGGAAATCACAGAGGAGCCAGCACTCACCTGGTTGGGGTGCAGACAGACACAGTTAATCGGAGCGTTCACCTGGAAAATCCGCTGGCACTGGAGGTTACGAGACCTGCAACAGAG